GTCTCACACATTGGTGTGTCAAAATGGCTCAATAGTTCGCCCTACAAAATTGGAAAAAAAAGCAGCCCTGGCTTCTCGTTTGACCTACATGGATGAAAGTCGGTACAAGCGTACCATGTCCACAGGTACATTTCCATGCATTATATTTTAACAACCTCCTCCTTGGGAATCGATCGGATCGACTTCAAATACGGTCAGTACACTCTAAAGACGTTCACAGTGACAAGCTATCAAAGCTTGAAGTTATGTCTAACGGCGTGGCGTCTAGTATCACATTTCGCCATGCAACAAGCCTTGTTGTAACTACAACATTTAAGAAAAGCAGGCCCAGTGGCATGTTTCACCTAGACCCACAAAACCCAACAGGATGTTGGACATTTTGAATTTAATGTCAAATTATGGTGCCATTTCTGCCATTTCCTAGCATTCTATTTTAAAGAACTCCTCCTACATAAGTGATTTTATCAACTTTAAATTTGGTCTAAATAAGTCATCATGGCATGGCATCAAAAATCTGTGTTGCGCCAAGAAAAAGGAACCCCTAACCCTAAACACATCTATGTGCCAATATTCAGGCATAGTCATAGCGCCACCTACTGGCAACAGAATGTAGGCCTTGTGGTGATTGTCATCTGATTTACGTGTAATTTTCACAGCTTTAATTTTGATTTGAGGCCAAAACTGAAATGGAAATAAGGTAGATTTCTTCAGCAGTGTTAAAGTGAATAACAGTCTTCTGTCACAAAATCTTCAAAGTCCTACAAAATCAAAAGTCCTTAAAAGATCTAAAATTGAGTTCTCAGACACAGTATGGTGCCTGCATCAGAAGTGTGAGTTGTGCAGCCTGGCAGACTGGTGATTATAAAGCTCGAAGCAGAATACACTGCCGTGCTCTATCAGCTCGGAAAATCACTTCCCTCTGCCTCCATAAAGAGCCATCTGTGGTCAGTTCAGCAGAGATTCCCCTGAGCACTGTGCTCTGCTCCGACGGGGACGTTTAGATCAAGACTTTGATTTTTTCAGAAAAAAACACATGTCACTGACCACACAGACACACAAATGCCAAATGTAACTGCTGCACAGACCATCACACCAGCATGGGGCAGATGCCTTTTCAGCCAATCATCTATCTGATATGATAGAGGTTTCTCCCTGAGCACAGTTACATCAAGTACCACCTTGAACTCTCTGCACATTTATTGATTTATTGAACTCTTCATGTTTTTCTGTAAAAGTTGTTCTTTACTCGAGTCTGTAATGGTAATAAATCCAAGAGAGTCTCTACCCCAAGGCACTGTGTGGAAGCCAGCCAGCATTCATATACTGCTGTAATCATTTTGTTTGCATATGCATGAAAACACATCACATAAAGTACACACAGGCACACAATGTGCACAATCTTGCACATTGCAAATGTTGCAAATATTCCTAATCCTGTAATTTTTTGTACATTCCTGCACAAACTGCACAGCTCCCTGTTAAAATAACAGTCATATTGTCTTTATTTTTTCATATGTTGTTAATTTTCTATTTATGTTTCTTGACTTGCAGCACTTGCTTTCATCTTTTTTTATATTTTTCTTGTATTATGTTTATTGTTGTGCACCAGTAGAGCACAAGTCCCAGTCTTTCGTTTTATGATTTAACACACTTAAGATCCAGCAACCAGCCTTTAAAGTCTTAATGAGGGTTGAGTCTTATTTCATATCCACCAAGGCAAATTCCTTGTATGAGAAACCTCGGTAAAACACCCCCTTTTCATTCCCAAACAAATTACAGATAATATCCACACAGGCTTGGCTCCGATGGGAGTGCTGAGTCATGGCAATACAAAAGAAACCCACAATGTTCTGTTTATACCAGGTACATGGAAATATATGCATACAATAGCTGCATAGCATAAAATAACATACAATTGGACAATGGCCAGCATAGTACAAAAATCTTCCAGTGGTTTCACTTCTGCCCTTGCTGCAGTGAAGTACAAGTGAACTCCATGACCTTGTGACATCACTGTTGGGTGTGGTAACAGGTGCACATTTCAGACCAGAACCAAACCACACCTACTAGTGACCCTGGGTGTGGTCAGAGATGAAACAGGCTTTTAGCTTTCAACCAGAGAGTGCAGCAAAACATTGCTTTCAGCCTGGTGTCAAGTTCCTCTTTAAGAGGGGGTTTCTTCGTGACCAGTATGGACAGGAGAAACAATTACAGTGAACAATTCTTTCAATATGGGTATGTGAGGGTCGCATTAAAAGACCGGTGTGTAGAATTTAGGTGCATCTAGCGGCATTAGTAAATACTGCTTGCCTTCCAAACATGTAGGACAAACTACATACTGTAGAAACATGGCGGTTCAACATGGTGGACTCCGTAGAAGAGGACCTGCTCCCTCTGTAGAAAACACAATAATTCTTCTATTCAGGTGATTATACGCTAATGAAAACATGCATATAAATATTATATTCCATTTCCGACAATAGATCCTCCTAAATGTTACACACATAAAGTTGAAAAATGTGCACCTATCTTTTAACTACACTTAGCAGAGTAAAGGAAATAGACAGATTAGCATAATTTTTGTTCTATTATACTGCACAATTTCAATATATAAATGAAAAAATATTCAGGAATATTTTGTTCTCATAACACTTATAATACAAGCAGTTAGTTAAACTTCAATGTATAATTTCTGGTTATACACCTAAACAGAATGTTTTGGTATTAGTAGTATGTATCTAGATATTTTAAATGTCTATGAAATACAGATGGATCACAAATGAAGGGAAAGGCAACATGAAATGTGAATGGTATGGTTAAAGCAGCAACAAGAAACTTTCATTTTGTGCTGATTCTGGCCCCCCTGTGGACAACAGCAGTAGTGTTTCTACCACCTCGTTTAATTTATTTCAAGGAGCATCTAACTGAATCCAAGGGAGGCTTTATAATAATTATACAGAAGTAGAGTTCTTACTGATGGTCTTGTGTGATTATATAGGTCATACAGAGGCATCAGTGTTAAATTGAGACTCTCTCATAACCAGTTAAAAACTCCTTGTAGTAGGTATAAGTTAAAGGACTGGTTATGGATAATATAAAAATTAACATAATTTGTTCAGTTTTGTGATACAAATTCTAGTCCCCTGCCAGCATTGGAATTTCCCTATTGTGGGACTATTAAAGGAATATCTTATCTTATCTTATCTTAGCAGCACGCTACCTTTTGTCCATTGTGAGTATGATGTGTTATTGTGTCTTAATCAATTGGAAAATAAAACAATGTGTATATTCCATTTAGTCTGTAGCTTTACTCAAACTGTATCATTATGTGAGTTTATGTGAATAAGAACAAGAAGACTTTTTAAATGCAAAGAGAACAAGAAGGGCATGACTCACCCAGTCTATTTTTGCCATGGATATTTATTGCTGCTCTTGACTGATTGAAGTAATCCTTTGTCCTTCGGCACAGCCAGAGAGTCACAGTTCGCACTTTATTTTTCCCTTTTTTGTTGTAGCTGGAGGTCTTTTCTTTTTTGCACGTTTATTCATATTTGCACATGCCACGACCGAACACCAGACATTACCAAAACAAGAACTGGCAAATTTATACTATGTGTACAACTGATGTGCATGAGGGGGCTTGTGATTAGATGACAGGCGATCTCACCTGTGGCGTGATCAACACGTGGTCTGGTACTGCTGTATCAGATCTATAATCTAGGAAGTTTTTCCTTGCCATTGTCACCAAGTGCTTGCTAATGGTGGGAACTGTTGGGTTCTGTAAAGGAGTCCGGTCTAGACCTACTCTATTTGAAAAGTGTCCTGAGATAACTTCTGTTATGATTTGACGCTATACAAATAAAACTGAATTGAACTGAATTTAATATTTAAGTTGAGATTATTTTTAAAGATCTCTGTAGAACACTGAACACAAGCTATATTCACCATCTTCACTCTCTGCCTAAAGGTCCTGTCCTGCATTAGAAAAGTATGCAGTTAAAACAACCAAAGAGCTAATAGAACAATGAGAAGAAAACACCAAATTTGTCAAAAAAAGACACCTATTAAGTATGTATGATTGATAGAGAATGAAAAATACATAATATAGAAAGAGAATTGCATAAAAATGTCCTACAAAGTTCACTTTAACTGATCTCTGATCAATATTCACAGGAAATAATCTGCTCAAAATTTGTTCAAATTGTTGTTTACACCAACTTCCTGCAGTTATTGTCACTGTTTGAGGTTCATTGTACAGGTTTATCAGTTGTTCTTACTGTTATTGTATTGAATATAATATGAAATATCCATAAAATATGTCACTGGATTTAAATCATGAGGTGTATAATCATCCAATATGACATTAATTCTGTGGGATATCTTCATCCTACCATCCAGTGAGGCCTCATGACCTTTATGCAAGCATCAGTATTCATGTCACTAGACTAATTTATTCAGGTTTCCCCTTTAATATGTCACCAGTCATATATCTGTTCTAAACTGTCCATACTTTCAGACAGTCTGCCCTGGAAGGCATTCATAGAGTTGCACTTTTTTGTTCACATGAAAGGGGGCAGAAATAGTTGGGTCAAAAGTGAGAAAAGAGAGCTAGAAAGAGAACTTCAACCATTGGTTCCTTTCACACCTCAGTGAAGTGGGTAGGAATGTCAGGTTGTCAGTTTCAGAAAGTTAGAAAAGTCGTCAAACGGAAATGTGTTGGGGGAAGGAGGTATCCAAAGCTAGTCAACCATCCAACAAGCACTTGTGAAGAGGCAGTTTAACAGCCTGCACTCATCTGGCTTCAGGCTTTCAACCATATTTTGGAACATGGCTGCAGGGATTTGCTACCACTCAACCACAAGAGCATTAGAGGGGTACGACGCTGATGCTGGCTCGAAGTCTGTGTTCCAGTTCATCCCAAAGGTGTTGGGTGGGGCTGAGGTCAGTGCACTGTGCAGGCAAGTCAAGATTTTCCACACCAAAGTTGGGAAAATAAATGTTGTGGAAACTCCTGATCCTACTTCTCAACACATATGTTCCACGGTGGTATACGGTGCCTGAAATGGACCAAAAAAGGTGCCAGTTCCTTTATTCAGCACAACCCTAACCCTAAACTCAACCCTAACCCTAATACTTCATTTCCATTTATCCATTTAAACAAGGGCAGTTACAGTGCTGTTCTTGTAGCATTAAGCTAGCTATGTGTTCAGGACTAGGTCACCAGCATTGCTTTACACACGTTTTTGAAATACAGAGAATACAGAAAACTGAAGTTGGGGGGTTAAGGGGATAATGGAATTTGGGTAATTTCCCTTACACCAGAAATGTTGCCACAAAGCTGGAAGAACACTAGTGTCTCAGATATCATTGTATTCGGGATTATTAAGATTTATCTTCCCTGGAACAAAGGCGCCCAACCAGGCAAAGCAGACCCAGACCAGGAGTAGGCTGAAGTACAGTATATGATCAGGATATCGTTTTTCAAAGCTTAGAATAGTATGGGACACCGTTTGTTGCCATCAGACTGTTCTGAATCAAGGCTCTGAAAGTCCTGGGTAGGTTTGGTTTGGCAATCACTGTGCCCGCAAATGCATGCAAACTGTTAATAAGAAGGTTTGTCTGAACAACAAAGATGATATGAAATGTATAGAAACTGCTGTTTGCATGTTTTTGTAATGTATGATGTTAGCAATGGAAATATTTTCTGATGGCTGATGGTGCAAACAAGCCCCCAAAGCGCTTTGAGGCTTGGGGCTAGATCAGTCTGTGGCTGAAAGTGCTCCTTAGCTGCCTCAGCTCAGTGTAGAGAGGATGAGAGGGGTTGTCCTCTTCTCAGTCACTAAAGTGGCCCTCCTCTGAGAATACCAGCAGTGGCCCCAAGACTATTTGAGTGAAGTTTGTGACCTCTGCTCTGGATCGACATTCGTCATGCAGGTCACTTCATGACTGTGACCTGTTCACACTGGAATCTGATATGGACCTCATTTAAAAAGTAATGTGAACAGCCAAACAAACAAACAAAAAAAACTCTGATCTGAGCAATAAATCAGAGTTGAGCGCTAAGGCTCTCAGTGTGAGGGTAGCCTTTGACTCCTGATTTATGGTTAGTAGTAGCTAGGAACCAGAAAACCAGCCAAGTTCATGATGGTTCATTTGCATATTAGTCTGGCGATACCAGGCATGATTACTAATGGAAAAGATCACAACAAACAAATATATCAAAAATGTCGAATTTTAAGTTTGTTTTTGTCTTGAGATTGTTTTGTCTGTTTCTTTTTTTAAAAGCTATTTTTTGGGCCTTAGCCCAACATAGACAGGACAGGGGGGCAGAGAGAGGGGATGACATGCAGCAAAGGGCTGCAGGTCGGATTTGAACCCTGGGCCACTGAAGCAAGGACTCAGCCTCAGTACATGGGTTGCCAGCTCTACCCACTGAGCTAACTGGGCGCCCCTATTTTGTCTGTTTCTGAGGTCATGAAAGAACTTTCAATCTCAACTTTCAAGCCAACATAGGAACAATCCTGCTTTGCTGCTTTAACCATACAATTCCATTGTCTGCTGCCATGACAAAGTTTTTCTTAAAAAATTGCCCAAAAAGTGAGGTTATAATGGCCACACACACACGCACACAACGTGCGCGCGCGCACAAAACCCTTAAAAGCCAGTTCTCTGCACTTTTTTTTTTCCTCCGCTCGAAACCACGTGTAAGGTTTCAACCCGGCGGTGACTGACAGCTCCACCGACCAATGAGAGGGCGGGGACTCCTCGCTTTTCCTCGGGTCAGGGTTTAACGGCACCAATGACACACCGGCAGAGGCCGGCCCGGGCTGTGTAGGCGTGTCCTGCGCTACAAAGTCGCTCCAGCCTGAATTACTGCAACTTCTCTCTAACTTAGGAAAAGTTGCGCAGTCTGCTCAGTGCTTTGCAAAGCGCTTCAGTCCCCTCACAACCAACCACCCAGCTCTTCCACTTCTCCTACCCTGCTTCGCTTTATCATGCATTACAGCCATGTTCCCCATCTGCTCTTCTCTCTGCTCTGCATCGGACTGACTGGTGAGTACTGACTTCTTTGCTTGCGCTGTGTTTCTCTTAGATGTAGGTCAGCTAAAGCAATCTGCAGCTGCTGGATGTGTCGCTAAAGATCAGCTCTAGGAAGCAGACTGCGCGTTCCTCCTGTATAAGACTCCCCAGCACGGTGATTTAATGCGCAAACGGTGCGTTACTGACGTGCACGCTGTGTCTAATTGTCGCGGGCTGCAGATTTTTTAAGTTAAACTCTGGGGTTGAACGTGGCTGGGGGAGTCTCCGGATCAGAGCAGACAGTTCACAGAGTCAGGACTGGGTTATTTTTGCACTCGGTAGCCGTTGTTTGATGGAAACTGTCTCTCCCCACAGCCCAGTCTGAGCTGGAGACGGATGAAGTGGTTCCCAGGCTGCTGTCTGCGCAGGAGGCGCACCTGTCCTCTGACCATACTGTCCGCACGCTGCGCCACCGGGGTCAGCGCTCCCTGGACGCCCCTGGGGCAGGACCCTCTGACCCGGATCGTATAATTCTGTCACTGCCCGCTTTTGGAAGGGAACTGTATTTAAATCTGACGCGGGACAGCAAGTTTCTGTCGGGGGACTTCGTGGTGGAGGAGAGGCGCAGGGACCAGAGCGCAGCGGAGAGCCGCTTATCCACGGACCGGCTCTGCTTCTACTCCGGCTCCATCGTCAACCACACGGATTCTCTGGCATCCGTGAGCACCTGCGGCGGCCTGGTAAATCCATCTTCATTTTTTGGACTTGTTGATAAGTTTCGTGTCATTCAATCCCAAGCAGTTGAGCTTCAGACCGTTCCATTAAATGCACTGAAAAGGTAGGTTGGATTACAGCCGCCTGGCCCAGAGAGACCCTCCAAGCAGGAACTCTGCTGAAGTGCCTCTGAGCATGATTCTTAGCGCTTCATGACCTGCCAGTGGGTTAGTCAGTTTAAAGTCACACTGTGCTGTTCAAACCCACAATTTTAAATGCTTCTGGAGATCCCAGTTTCCAAAGATAAATCTGTCTGGCTCAAAATTTGGGAAAATGTGTCCAAAATGATGCAGAGGACATGTCCAGGCTTTCCAATTTAGGAAACGAGTTATTTTAACAACCTTAAAGCTACTTTTTAGAGGAAAAAAGAAAACTGTATGTTAAGGGTTTGAAAAACACGCCAGTAAATTGGCCTTGAGTTACGTTTTTGTTTTGTTTTTGTTTAGTCAAACTACTATTTCCAAAGTAAAGAATGAACTCTGATGCTTAACATAAGTTCATAGGTTCTACAATATTACTTTGTCAAAATCTTGATTTGACTGTTATACTGTGAGACAGAGCTGAATAAGATGATTCTTTCAATTAGAGCTGCAGATTAGTAGATTAATCCATTAGTCAATCCTAAAGAAAATGAACTGCCAGCCATTTTGATAATCAATTAATGATTTCAAGCGAAATGTCAAACACTTGCTGGTTCGAGCATCCTATATGTAAGGTTTTGCTGCTTTTCTTTGGCATTTGTGACAGCATTTTTCACATTTTTTTGACTAAATGATTAATCATGAAAATAATCGGCAGGTTAATTGATAATGAAAATGATCCCTACTTCCAATCTTTAAGCCACTGGTAATTATTTTTTTATTATTATTTACTATTATGGTAAAAGGATATCAGTTCTGTTGATTTTTAGGTTTTATTCATCCAGCATACCATATGAATGCTATGACGATGGGTTTTATTTGCAAGTTACACTCTGTAATCTAAAAAACGACTTGATTCCATTTAAAATCCTCTAAAATGTCTTATAAATTAATAAAAGTTAAAAAAGGTTTTGCCGTAAGATATCATGGTATTTTACGGTTACGGAAACCTTTACCTATTTTGACTCGTGGTTTGACAGTTTTTCACAGTAAAATCTACAGACATTTTTTACAGTGTACACAGGGAAAATAAAAAGGGGAAAACTGGATTTTAAGAGCTCAAACCGGCCAAATTACTGTCCAGAGATCCATCTTAAACAAAAAGTTACCCCTCCATCAGCTTCTCTGTCCGCTGTTCTGTGTCAGAGCCGGAGCTCTAAAGAAAATCTGAATTCCTCCACTGTGAGCAGTGAAGTCCCACATTAGCTGAGGCATGTGGATAATGCTCTTATGTAAAGTGAGTGTGCAGGTAGGGGTTCAGTCCTGCACTATTCAGCAGAAAGAGTCTTGAAGCCAGCTCTTAAAGTGAACTGTGCTCCTTTATTTCTTACAATATATCCTCAGTGACAGTTTGAGCATTCATCTGACCCACAATGAATGAGCAGATCATTGTCCAGCTGCGTACAGACACTGTGAGACACATGGTGGGTTTGTATGGGGGAAATAAGCAGCCGCTTACAGTCTGTCCACCCCAGGTATCGCCCGGCTGAGGGGCTCAGGGTGTCCTCAGTAAAATGAGAAATTGTGTCCTAGTTTCAAGCTTTACACTACAGTACATTCTATGTTCTTACAGTATGTTTACAGAGCTTACAGTTAATGTTAGCAGCTAATGGGAAATGATGCAAGACACAAAGTCAGCCACACTGCAGAATTGGAACGCTCCACTGCCAATTTCAGATTTGAAAACTCAAATGAAAGAGTTTTTAAATGTTGTTTTCTTCTTCTTCTTCTGAGCGATCCCACAAGTCATCACACCACTGTTAACAGTTTCTTGACTTCTGTCCAGCAGTGAGTAACTTCACCATTTCTGTCATGCATTGCATCAACAGTTTCCATCAACACCACGCTCAAAAGCGAAGCAATCCTATTTTGCATGCTGGCATTTCTTAAGGAGAATTCTGGGTTATAACCGCTTGATTCAAAGTTTTGCCCACCATTCCTTTAAGTACATTTTTTGGCCTTTTCATGCCTTT